AAAGACTCCATCAAAAAACTGTTAGAACTAATAAACAGATTTCATAAAGTTGCAGGATACGAAACCGATAAAAAAAAACACTATACACTAATAACATAGTATCAGAAAGAGAAAATAAGAAATGGAAATAGAATTTGAGCTTATAAGTTTGGGTTGAAAAGTAGGATACAGGATAGTCAAAGGTGTTAGAATGTGTATGTGTGCAAGTGTGAGTGTGTGTGTGGAGCGTGATGCTGTTAGATAAAAGGGATATTTAAAAGTAAAGATATAATTTGTGAACTAACACATTTAGTTGGATTTCCCTGGGTTCGGAATCTAGATAGGGAAGGAAATTAATATTCGTTGACTCCCTCTCAACATGCCGAGCCCTGTGCTTTTTATATACACTTAAAAAAAAAAAATGTGTTCCTTTATATACATCATCTGATTTAATCTTCACAATCTACTTGTGAAACAAGTATTATTACAGAATTGAAAACAGATGCATGAACAAAATAAATACCTCCCTCAGTCACCTAGTAAAGCCACATGGATACAGGACTGTATGACCCAAAGGCCATAACTTTCTACAGCACCCCAGTGCCTAACCAGGACCCAGGCATGCTAAGTGCTGGTCAGTAACTGCTGGTAGGTACACAGCCTGGCATATGTTACACAGTTCAGCTCAGTCTGAGGGGCATTAAAGAGGGAATTTCATCTCTAGAACTGCAAATCAGATCACATTTATCTCACAGAGGCTGGCACTCTCTCCAGCAGAGGAGTTGAATATTTGTCTTCCTATCAAATTGCTAAAACCATAATTGCTAACTACTGATGGATGCTCAGGAAAAATACAGCTTTATTTTTCTTTAGCTCTGGAAAGACTTTTTCCATAGTGACTTCAGGTAGTCTTTGAAACATCCAAGGCTTCATTCAGATGTGTGCCTTCTGTGGTAAATGTTGCCTTGTTGCATAACCTGGAAGAGGAAGAAGAGGATGGATGGGCTGAAGGGTCCCAGTGCACGTGGACTTGCCTTCGATGAGCCCAGGACCTGGGGAAGGGTATCTTTCTTTGGGGCTCTAAGATAGTAACCCAGCACTAAACTCCTTGACTTATAGGGTTCCTGCTCAACTCCCTCCAAGCTTCTCTAGGCTCTGTTTCTAGAGGTAATTGTTTTATGCTGTGACCACTGAGAGGAGGTGGCTTAGCCTCAGCGCCATCCATAGATTTTACCTGGGGAGTGTAATCATTGATTATGATTCAGACTCAAAACAACAATGCTTTATATTTGAATATAACATGATACTTTTCTGGACACATTCATCATTCCATTTTAGTCCTTCTGCAACCCTATGTATAGAAGTGATGATAGATATTTTTAACACAAGGATGCTGATCCTGAGAGACGTGAAGTGTCCTCCCTAGAACAACAGGAGCTAATGACAGATGGGGCTAGCGTGAGGTTTCCTCATTCCCACTTCATGCTTTTTCCTGCCTCCCCATCGACAGTGCTGGTGAGCACTTTTTTTCCTAGAAAGGCTTGCAACTTGTGCATATGGTATATGCAAAAACAGCATTAGACAATTCTGCAGCTCACAGAGCCCCTGGAGCATTTTGTGCTGAGGCCAGCCACCTTTGTGCCTCTCTCAGTGGCATTCCGGGGGCCTCTCTCTGGGCGCCTAGCCCCACCTGTCTGGTGCCTCTCGTCTTCACGTGCTTATTGTAGGTGGAACAGCCCTTTCCTAATGCGTTGCAGTTCAATTTGGAATTATGCGTTCTTCTTGCTTTCCCCTTTTAGAAGGGATGAATTTAGCTCTGGCATGCCAAATACAAACCCTCACTTCATCTCGAGAGCTCTCTTTTCATCCACCCCTCCTCAGGCAGGCTATTTACAGACTTGTCATCCCATCATGTGGGTCAATCTACCAGTGAAATGAAAGGAAGGAGAGGCCCCAAGCCAACAAATTTGGGCAGATGAGCATTATATAACACATGCTAAAAATATGCAGCTAATTGAAATGGAAAAGCGAAAAGTGAATTGTGCTTAAACCTTAGTCTGAGATATAAGAGTGATAAGGAAGTAATTTCTCCCAGCGGAAGATGCCCATATATAAATAATTTTACTCTTGTGCGTACTCTCCATTTTGTGACTTTTAAACCATGCTCAGTTCCCAGTCATCCTCCCATGGGACTGAACTTGGGCAGCAGGAACTGAGGCTTAGGGATCATCAAAGAAAAGATGCAGAGCTGCTGCCCCTTAGGGTAGAAGGAGGCAGTGTCTAGGGGTGTGGCCAGATGTGAAGATGGTAAAGGAAGCTCCCACTTCTGACTCCCTCCAAATACAAACACTTAGAAGACTCAAATTATCAAAGGGTTCTTTTTGCCCTGGAAATTATTTAACTTAGGGATTTTTCTAAAAACTAAAGGGAATACTGTCCTCTTCTGGCTCCATCCCCGTCTGCCATCCTTAATCCCAAGACCTCACTCCATCAATTATGCTGTCTCGTTTTGCATCTTTCTTCACGTTTTCTCCTGACTTCTTCCTCTGCTTACGGCATGCTCAGTCTTCTCTTATCATGTCGTATTGTATGTGACTAGTATTGTAGGTCTGCGTTTCCTATATAGCACACGAGGACCCTGAGGGCAGGGCCTTGGTCTAATGCAATGCCCAGCATAATGCCTGGTCCAAGGTGAGCACCAAATACTTGCTTATTGAATAAACAAGTCATTCAGTGAATCCATGAATGGACAAACTGAAAATGGTATGTTACGGTTTCTGACAAATATAGTATGAGAACCCTGCTCTTACTGTTCAGGTCTGACGCTGATCTTTTTTGGCAGTCAGATGATACTTTCATCCATCTCATCAGTCACCTGATTACTGTTTGTGTGACACCCCACCATGAGGACATGAGGACTCTAAAGATAGCTGAACAAGATGTCATGGAGTTCATTAGAAATAGAAGAAGGTTAGTTTCAGTGTTTGGAATGCACATGGGTTGATAAGAGATTTGGAGATGACCTAGTACGACAGATGAGTTTTAAAATGAGGAAATGAAGGCTTAACAGTGTTCAAAAATTTTAACCAACTTGACATGGTTAGCTAGTGGCAGAGCCAGGACAGTGCTTGCTGGCTCATGTTAGATTCTCAATGAATCTTACAAATATAGAGCATGTCTTCAAAAGCCAAATTCAGAGCTCTTCCCAGACACCACCCTGCCCCTTGCTAGGGAGAAAGGGACCATCCATTGATCCATGACTCGGGACAGCCCTCCCACACGCCGGTGGCTTCAGGGAAGGCTCTCGCTGCCCACCTCCCAATTTGCATAGCTGTATTTGGTCTGTGGAGAACACGGCAGTTGCAGTTACTCCATAATGAACTCTGCTGCCTCGTAGTTGAGAATATATTGCCATCATTCACATGATTTATTCCACCTAGAATCCACTTAATGCATCTGTTGTTTGTTTGTCCTTGTCCGACGCAAAAATTTGTGGCTGCCTAGAGCTGAATTGCATTGACAACTCCACAGAAGGCAGCTCCACAACCTGCCATTGCTGGGGTGTTCTGGACAGCTCTGCTTTGCTCTTCCTGTGGCTTGAGGTTCCTTAGAGTCGTTGACAGTCCAGGATCCTCCCAGCAAATTCCCCCCATGTGCTGCTTTTTTTTTTTCAGTCTGTGTTACAATAGAGAGAACCTGAACTGATCTAAAATAGGGAGGAAGCAGAGCATCCAGTTCCTCACTTTTCAGATAAGAGAATCAAAGCTCCAAGAGGGGAGGTCCGTGGCCCACCATCTCACAGGCAGAGGGTGGCAGAATTGAACTGCATCTCAGTCTCTGGACTCCCCATCCAATACGTACACTGACAACCTCTGAGGATTACAGCAGGGCTGAGAACTCCACAACACCTGCCTCCTCCAGCATTGGGAGACTCACGTGGGTGTTGGTTAACTGTTACGAGACCTGGGCAAGAGGCTCGTAACAGTTAAGTGTGACATTGAGTACATATTTGTGCTTAGAAATTTGTAATGCTTTTCATAACCAATCCCTGCCCACTGGGGTATCAAGTTATCCATGAGTTATGAAACTTAATCAAGACTTGAGTTATGAAATTAATAAAGCATCTGGCTCATGAAAAACAACTTGTGGCTGCAAAGGAGAATCCTGGTGACAGATCAGAAAGGCATGATGGGGAGTTCCCTGGGAGCTGGCTTCAGGAAGATTTGAGGAGATGAAGCATGGAGAAGCATCCAGATTCCACTTCTTGTCTTTTCTTTAGGGTCAGAAGTGGATACGGGTTTTAGGAGAAGACAACTACTATACTTTGCTGTGTGCTGCTGGCCACATAATTGTGTCCCTGATCCCCCATTTCCTCAACTGTATCTCATAATTTATTTCATCCTGGCACCAACCCTATGAAGTCACTAATATCCTCACTTTGAGATTGCAGAGCAGAGGCCAAGGATTTTATATAACTTGCCCAAGATCTGTCATGCTGCAAAGCCCAAGCTCTTTGTTTATTATAAAGTTGCCCCTAGATAGATATTCTAATATTTCTAAGTCCTTGCATTAGATGAAAACACATTTATTATTGTTGTCATATAATTCTAATATTATGGTATATTTTTATTAAACAAGTGTTTATGATATGCCTGGCCCTGTGCTAGGCTCTGATTTACACTAGAGAAGTATCAACAGAGTCCCTGCTTTCAGGGAGACCTACTGTTAAGGGAAACACTGATAAGACATTTAAATAACAAACAAGGCACCATGTGATTAGAGGCCAAGATGTATGACATAGATGGTAGATGCTCTAACAACACCTTCTGGTGCTATCAGCTCCTTGACCTAAATTTTCCACACTCCTAAATGACTCCCTGATGATGGATATACTCTCGCTGAAGCTGCCTTATTTCATTTCACCAATGTTCCATTATGGCTTAAGTCCCCACACTCTTGTGTCTTAAATATTTCATAATTGAATACTTCATTATATATAGTGCTGCATATGACTGACTTTGTTCTTTTAAGTCAACTTTTTTATTATTCAGGTGACATATACACACAGAATAATGCATAGTTCACAAGGAGGCAAAGTGAATAGACGATGTGATCAACATTCAGATGAAGAAATAGAACATCCCCTTCCTCCTGCCATCTTCATTTCTTAAAAGCAAAGAATAATTTTACTTGGCTTTGAACTTTCAGTGGATTTATATGGCACATACTCTTTTGTATCTGGTTACTTCCATTCAACACGGTGCGTATGAGATTTGCCCATGCTCTTGTGTGTAGATTGTTCATCTTCATCGTTGTAGAATGGTTCACTGTGAGACTACATCTCCATTCTCTCGATGGACATATGGTTGTGTCCAGTTAGGGATCGTATGAATAATGCCGCGATGAACATTCTAGTCAGCATCTTTTGGTGAACAAATGTACACATTTGTTCATTTGGTGTTGCATGCATACCTAGGAATAGGATTACTGAGTCAGAAGGTTGCAGCCGTTCGGCTTTAGTAGACACTGTCCGTGTTCGGAATGGCTGTACGGACTTACACCTCCCCCACCCCGCCAGCAGTGTGCCAGAGTTCCAGTTGCTTCACAGCCCCCCCAAAGCTTGGTCCTGTTCATCTCATTTTCACTTATAGCCGTTCTGGTGGATGTGTTTGTCAGTGTAATTTTTTTCTTATTGTGGTAAAATATACATAACATTAAAATTTACCACTTTGGCTGTTTTTAAGTGTACAGTTCAGTAGTATTAAGTACTTTCACATTATTGTGCAGTCGTCACCTCTGTCTATCTCTAGATTTTCCAAACTTTAGCTCTGTACCCATTAAACACAAACTCTTCATTTTCCCCTCCCTTTACCCCTGGCAACCACCATTCTTCTTTCTGTCTCTATGAATCTGACTACTCCAAATACCTCATATAAGTAGACTGGTACAGTATTTGTCCTTTTGTGACTGGCTTATTTCACTTAGCATAATGTATTCAAGGCTCATCTATGTTGTAGCATGTGTCAGAATTTCCTTCCTTTTTAAGGCTGAATAATATTTCATTTTATATATATACTACATTCTGTTTCTTTATACATCCTTTGATTTTATTCTGATTTTAATTTGCACTTGATAACTTTGCATTTCTCATAAGCACCTTGTATGTGATACAAGGTATTTGGCTATTTGGATGTCTTCTTTTAGAAGTGCCTGCTCAAGTCTTTTGCCCATTTTTCAGTTGGATTATCTGCCTTTTTTTTTTTTTTATCAATTTGTAGGACATCTTTATATATTCAGTTATGAGTCCTTGTTGAATTCATGAGTTGCAAGAACCTTCTAATCCGTGGCTTGCCTTTTCACTCCTTAAGAATATATTTTGATGAATAGACGTTCTTAATAAATGTAGTCAAATTTATCCATTTTTTTTGTTTATAGTTAGTACCTTTTGTGTTCCATTTAAAGAAAGTACCGTCCACCCGAAAATCATGAAGCTATTCACCTATCTTTTCCTCTAAAAGCTTTACTCTTTTACCTTTCACTTAATGTGACTGCCTTTTAAACTGGGAATAATTTTGAAATCCTAGATAAACTAGATTGCTTGCAGCACAGACCTAGGATTTGGACAGCACTTGAAACCATGTTAACTTGGGCCAGTGGTGACGGGGTCAGGTGACTGGTGGAAGTACAGTGGATGTAGGCACCTCTTACTCGGCCTTCATATTTGTTTTTCTGAAGAGTTGCATGTAAATTATATCTAATAAATTTGGCCATGTTATAAATGCAGAGTCTGTGAATTTTCAGACATTTCCACTAAAGTTGGGGAGATGTTCTCTTAACCTGTCTCCACTTTACTGACTTTCTAAATTAGCTCTGCCTCCTAGTCCTTCTGACTGATACCCGAGGGTATGCTTGAAAGCGCTCAGTTATAGTGTAGCAGCCTGTTCTCCAGAACACCGTGCTGTCCCTAGCGTTTTAGTTGTGTATTTATCAAAAGTCACTTGTGTTTGTTGTTCTTATTTGTGATTACATAATTTGATTCAGTCTCATTTAAACTAATGAAGTATGAGCATGAAAAAAAAGTTCCTATGAAAACAAAGTTGAATGTGTTGGAAAGAGTCAATGAAGATGAGTTGCTAATAAAATTACTGTCAAATTATGTGTGTGAGAGAAAACAGTAAAATCCTGCAGGGTGGTAGGGATATATAATAAGCTCTAAAAAGACTTTAAATTTGGATTGTTTCATAAATATCTTTAAGTTTTTGTTCCACTATAGAGAAATCTAAATTAGAAATCATAGATAATCTATTATCTATGAAAGAGAGTGCATAAAGAAAAGTCCTTAGTCTTATATTATTGGCCAAGAGGTGTGTGTGTGTGTGTGTGTGTGTGTGTGTGTGTGTGTGTGTTTTCAGATAAATATATATATATTTTTTTTTTCAGATAAATGTTTTAAGTTTGAATGTATGCTGTCAGTTAAAATATTTAAAGTATGTATGTCTTATTTTTGCATGATCTTCTGCTTTAATTGACTTTTTATTAAGCAAGCACTGTTTATTCATCACAGGTAAGAGGGCAGAGGGTAATGAACACCCTCCAACCCCCAGCTGACCTCAGCTCTTTGAAGTACTATTTTGTCTTAAAACATAATAATATTAATACTTCAAAATTCACATTCTACTCCATGTTTTAAAAAATAAAAATGTATTTTTATTTTCTAAAATCATTTTTTAAAGAATCTCAGCTTACTGAATTCTTCTGTGATAGTTTGGTGATTTAAATCACCTTCTTCTAATTTATCTGCTTTTGGGATCCATCCTCATCTTTAAGGCATGCCAACCTGTGCCCTGGAGCTGGAGCCCAGGCTTGCGTGTGCCTTGCTGTGCCTGGTGATGCTGTGTGTTTGGGCTGCTGGTCTGTCCCCTGGGTGTGGACGTGTGTGTATGTAGTGGTTGGTGAAGGTATAGCCTGTGGGTGTGGGAGACCATCTGTTCCAGAAGCTCAGCACTGCTCTATTTGGGAGCCAGCCTGCTGCCCTGCATCTCAAGCTGGACTCTACCAGAGCTGGCAGGCACTGAGGGCAAGCATGCCTTTCATGCCAAGGACACTGTGGTGACACACTGAAGAACAGGCTATTACCCCCACCCCCAGCCTACTGTCCTTCAAGGTCCTTCTTTGGGAGTATTCATTTGCTCCTCTTGTGGCACGTTAGGAAGTTGTTTTTGTTTGTTTGTTTGTAAATTGCATTTATTAATTCAATTCTCCTCCATCCTTTGAGCTCCCCTCCCCTGGCGTGATAACAGTAACCTGTGCTCCAGGCCACGGTGCTGGGAAAGTGCTTAGAAAGTGAGGGGAAAACCTTTTAGGCTGGCATGCACATAGTTTTGAAACACCCAAGGCCGATCAGCCTGAGTCACTGCCTTGGTGGCAGTGGGCCAAGCAATCAGTCATCCAGTAGCACCTCTCTGCTCACGGTCATCGTCCTCCAACGCCTTTTCTCACTTTACTCAGAGGAAGCGGATGGGAAGCCTGGATCCGAGGCATTGACTCGAGCGCCCCCGTGTGGCCCTAGTGGACGTGTTTAGAAAATGCAGCCAGGTTTTCCTTGAAGTTGGGCAGGAGAATGCAGTGGGCAGCCTGGGCAGCCTGCAGCCCCTGCGCACACCTTTAAGAGCAGACGTTTTCCATAATCTTTGATTGTTTGTTGCTATTATTTCTTTTTAAATTTTTTATTTTTACTTCTATTTCTTAACCGTTAAGCATCTTAAGGCCTTGTTCAACTTCAGGTGGTTTGGTTTTAGGAAAATTCCTCTTAGGTACACATCATCATTCCAATGACAGCTACCATTATTGAGTGCCTGCTCTGTGTCTTATACTTTATAACAATTACATTCTAAAGGCAGATATTATCTCTTATTTTAGAGATGAGGAAACTAACTCTGGGAGGCAGATACTCACATCCCTTATTTCAGAGAGGAGGAACAGAGGCTCAGCATCTGGCTGTGGGAGCTGGAGGCAGAACACAGGCCTCGATGCACCCAGGTCCTCTCACCCCACCCCACCCCGCTGGCTTCTCTACAGTGAGAGCAAGCTCTACTTTCCTCTCCATTAACATTGCTCAGAGGGCCCTAACCAACAAATCTCAGCGGTTCCTCCCCCCTCCACCTCTTCTCTCTCTCCTCTCCCCACCCCCATTGTTCTTGCAATCTGGGGAGCCAGTGTAGCCCCAGAATCAAAAAACTGTAACCTCCCATGCTAAACTTTTGCTCAGGAGAAACAGGAGCTCTCCCACCTCGGGGCCGGCTGACGGGGGTGGCTTTTAGCCCTGGGAGAGGCTGTGCAAATAGAGAAGCCGGTGTAGACCGCTT